AATTAAAATCAAAGAATGAAGATAGGCCTAAACTAAAAAAATTATTTATTTCCTTAAAATATGAAAAAACAAAAATCAACCTCTAACAATTTCTAGATCAAACGACCACTATTATTTTGCAAAAGGGAGTAGAATTTTGTATATATTTTTTGAAAGGCCAAGTAGAGTTTTGCATATGAATCTAGAAATTAAGCCCAGAATTTTCAAATCGCCAACTATCCTAGAAAGCAGGTAATATTCTCAGAAGTGGTCGCAATTAGTGGACTTTGTCAAATTAAAATTTTCTAGCAATACACGGTATTATAGTGTTAGTCAAGCCAATGAGTTTTAGTCTTTCTTTGAACTTCAGCGTTTGGGCGGTCCCAGAACGTGCATAGGAACATACATTTCATCTCTACTACTTATAAGGTTCCACCTATACTGTTTTCTAAATCTCAAATCTAATCAGCATTTGAGGAATGAAAGAAATGATTATCATCCGACGATCACCTTTCTTTGCTTTCTTAGTATTGCTAATGATTGAATCAGCAGTAGGGTACAATCTGTCGAAGAGTGGTTGTTCAGACCATTGTGGGAATGTCAGCATTCCATACCCCTTTGGAATCGGAACAGGTTGCTACATGAAAAAATGGTTTGAGGTCACCTGCAATGAGTCTCTCACTCCTCCTAGAACTTTCCTAACCAGCGGAAATATTGAGGTACTGTATATATCTCTTGTTCCCAGCGTTCTTGGCGTCAAACTACCCACAATCTCCTACGACGCAGAATGGAAAACTTTGAATCTTTCTGGAAGTCCTTTTAAGTCCGTCAGGAGAACGGCCCCCTATGAGGAATATGTTCCAGGCGTGTTAGAATGGGCGCTTACTGATGAAGATGTATCACAATTACCACATTCAAATGAGAATGCATTTAATTGTTCCCAGTTTAATAGTACTAATGATACCATTCGTTATGGTTATAACAATTCCTACTTGTTTCTCATCTATAATTTATCTTTAACGTCCTCAAGCACAAGTCGACAATGTTTTTGTGCACCTGGATTTCAAGGCAACCCTTATCTACCAGATGGATGTCACGGTGAACTTCTATCTCCTCCACTTTTTATCTAGTTATATCTGTCTCTCGTTTCTTTTATTTACAATATTTATTATTTTTCATTTTTTTACAATCATCTATCAACTGAGTTTTGTTTGGAAAACATTAAACACAATAAGAAAAAAAGGGTTTTAGTGCCTGTAACATAAGTTTTTTTCAGAAAACATGGATATTTATTCGGCTTTTTGATCTTGGTTAGTTTTACAAGAACCTGC